CAGCTCAGATCCAAGAAACCCGCGCGAAGCGCCGAAAGTCTGTTCCTCTATCCCTCCTTCCTTTCTCTTTCCTTCCTTCCCCCCCCCTTCCTCTGTCCTCCTCATGCCTCCTCCCATGTTGATTCCTCCCCTCCTCCCCTTCCGTTCCCTTCCTTCCCTCCCCCCCTTCCGTCCTCCTCATCCCTCCTCCTGTGTTGATCCCTCCCCTCCTCCCCTTCCCCTCTTTGTGTCCCTCCTCCGCCCTCCGCGTCGGAGGCCATCCTCGCCGGCGGGGCGGCGTCCGCTGCCGCAGCGGAGCGCCCCGCGCAGCCAGCGCGGCGCGCGGCAGCGCCCTCGAAGAACAGGAGGAGGAGGAGGAGGCGGAGGAGGAGGAGGAGGAGGAGGAGGAGGGGAAGGAGGAGGAGGAGGGGGAGGGGGAGGGGGAGGAGGAGGAGGAGGAGGAGGAGGAGGAGGAGGAGGAGGAGGAGGAGGAGGAGGAGGAGGAGAGGAGGAGGAAGAGGAGGAGGAGGAGGAGGAGGAGGAGGAGGTTGCTTTTCGTCCACCTCCGTTTCCTCCTTCTCCCTCTCATCCGCCTCATGTTGCTTTTCCTCTTCCCCCCTGCTCCCGGGGAAGAGTGGAGGCAGAGGGGGACCTGGGTGCAGGGTGGGGATCAGAAGGAAGGGGAAGCGGAAGAGGATGTGGAGGACGAGGGGAGCAGGAACAAGACGAGAAAGGAAACGATGGGGAAAGCGAGCAGGGGAGATGAGGGAGGAGCGAAGGGGGAGGAGAGGGAATGGGGGCGACTGGGAGGTAGGGAGAGGGAGGAGGAGGAGGAGGAGGAGGAGGAGGAGGAGGAGACACAAAGAAGATGGAGGGAAGGGTCAGAGGGTGAGAGAGGAGGGAGGGGTGGTTGTAGAGGGAGGCGGCAAGACGACAAGGAGGAGGATGGTACGGATGGGACGAAGGGAAATGAGGGCCCCTCATTTCCCTTTGTCCCTCCGTCCCCTCCTCCCCTCCTCCTCCTCCTCCTTCTCCTCCTCCGTGTCCTTCCTCCAGCCCCTCCTCCTCCCTCGATTTCCCTTCGTCCCCTCTGCCCCCCCCCTCCTCCTTCGTCCCCTCCGTCCCCTCCGTCCTCCCGCATTGAGGGGGAGGTGATAGTTTCCTCGGGCAGGCGGTCCTCGTCCCATCATAAGCTAAGTGGTTCGTGCGCGCAGCTACGCGAGGAGGAGTGCGACAAAGCAAGGTGAGCGAATGCAAGCTAGACGAGGTGAGGCGAGACGGGGAAAGCTGGGAGGGGTGACTTGAGGTAAAGGTCCCAAGGCACAAACGAACTTACGACACGTCAGATGCTTGACGATGGTGTAGAGTAGACGCGTTGTGCTGCCATAGTGGTGGTGGCTTCGCGTCTCGGGACGCATGCACGTTCCGCTGCCCACGTGTGTTCTTAAGTCGTTCGGCTGGCTGGAGGTGGAGCATGGTGATGATGCCGAGCTTGATGGTGATAGCCGCCGACAGCAATTCCAGAGTGCTGTTTGCGTTGGTGGCTGAGCATGTGGATTCGATTTTACGTTGCGTCGGACTCGCTGCTCAAAGCGGCTTGGTTGATAATGTCCGTTGGCTGTGACAGTGCCTGGGTGTTGTGTTGCGTATGACTTGATATTCGCTTGCTGTTGTGTTCGGCCGAAGATGCGGCGAGCTAGGCGAATGTAGGTTGGGGCACAGCAGGTGTTAATTGTTCCTCCCATGCTTGCGTGTGCGCCACAGTGGGGGCCAATGCCAAGAAACGCCCTGCTTGCCTCCAGGGCACCCCGGGCTTCTCGGACTTCGATGGCTCTGCCAGGGAAGGCGCGGCGCTCCCACACCACAGAGATCAGGGGACGTCCTGGGGATTCGGGGTGGGGTTTCTTGTGGAAGGTCTCCTGTGGTCGAGCCCCTGCTGTAGTGACCATGTTGGGCTCAGGAGGATGTTTGGTCTTCGGGACGGGACGCTCCTCCGATCTGGGTCCGGGGAACCTGTTCGTCTCCGGGGGCTCGCCGTGGCCAGAACAGCCGCCTGCTCCCCAGTGGGCTCTCTCCCTTGCAGCACGGTGCACGTATGAGAGTGGCTCTCTAGCCCTTCAGAACCCTCCTCCTCCTCCGCCTCCTCCGCCTCCTCCTCCTCCTTCTCCTCCTCCTCCGCCTCCTCCGCCTCCTCCTCCTCCGCCTCCTCCTCCTCCTCCTCCTCCTCCTCCTCCTCCTCCTCCTCCTCCTCCTCCTCCTCCTCCTCCTCCCTCTCCTCCTCCAGCATGGTGCATAGGCTCTAGCCTTAGGTCGGGCCTGTCCCCTACAGGGGGATTTTCGACGAAAAATAAAAAATACCCCAAACATGAAAAATACCCCCCCCCAAAAAAAAAATACCCAAAAAAGTAGTCCCCAGACTATTGTTGGATTATTTCTGGACTATCTTTTATTTTTCGTCGAAAATCCCCCTGTAGAGAGACAGGCACGACTTAACTCTAGCCCTTTAGAAATGACCCCTCAGACGCACCCTAGGGACATGTCCGAGTCGACCCGCGCACGTGCGTGCGCGTCAGAGCACACGCGTGGACTCAGCAGTGCGAGCCCGTGCCCCTCGCGCCCCGCGCCGCTCTCTCCTCACAATCTCCTCCACACCTCATCCTCATCCTTCTCCTTCCTGCTACCCTCTTGGAAGCTGCGATGCGAGGTGCTCCTGGGGGGCCTGCTCCAAAATCAGCAGCTCGGATGGCGCATTATGGTGCCAGATATGCTTCGCCCGACGCAAGCACAGTAGGAGTGGACGGGGACGGGCGACGAGCAGGCAGCTCTGCTCCGCAGCGCGCCCCCGAGCTCCCCGAGAGGCGCGGCCGCACGAGAGGACATAGTTCTCCTCCCTGACCTCCTCGGCGCCCCTTTCCTTAAGTCGGGCCTGTCCCTCTACAGGAGGAATATCCAAGAATAGGCAAAAAATAGTCTGGGGACGATTTGTCGGTCGACTAATGTTGCACATGTGTAAGTATTTCCCCATATCCTAAGATGGGGTTCTTGTTATTACTTGGACGCCTCCTACTCCTTCTCCTTCCTCCTCCTCTTTTCCCCTCCCCTCCTGTCGGGCTTACTCCTACTCAGACTTGCTCATACACAGACTTACTCCTACTCAGACTTACTCATACTCGGACCTACTCATACTCAGACTTACTCACACTCAGACATACTCATACACAGACTTACTCATACACAGACTTACTCACACCCAGCCGTACTCATACACAGACTCACTCATACCCAGACTTACTCATACACAGTATTAGTCATACTCAGACTTACTCATACCCAGACGTACACATACACAGACTTTCCCATACACAGACCTACTCATACCCAGACTTACTCATACACATATTTACTCATACACAGACTTACTCATACTCAGCACCCCTAAGGGGAGCCGCCAGGGGTGGTTGCACGGGCTCGTTCGCGGCCATGTTGTGGGGATGGCTCAGGCGGTTTGCCTGTTTCTGTGCCCAGCATCCTTCGCTTTCGGAGCAGATTTGGAGGATGTCTCGAGCGAGGCGCTCATTTCAGCACCCCTAAGGGGAGCCGCCAGGGGTGGTTGCACGGGCTCGTTCGCGGCCATTTTGTGGGGATGTCTCAGGCGGTTTGCCTGTTTCTGTGCCCAACATCCTTCGCTTTCGGAGCAGATTTGGAGGATGTCTCGAGCGAGGCGCTCATTTCAGCACCCCTAAGGGGAGCCGCCAGGGGTGGTTGCACGGGCTCGTTCGCGGCCATTTTGTGGGGATGTCTCAGGCGGTTTGCCTGTTTCTGGGCCCAACATCCTTCGCTTTCGGAGCAGATTTGAGGATGTCTCGAGCGAGGCGCTCATTTCAGCACCCCTAAGGGGAGCCGCCAGGGGTGGTTGCACGGGCTCGTTCGCGGCCATTTTGTGGGGATGTCTCAGGCGGTTTGCCTGTTTCTGTGCCCAACATCCTTCGCTTTCGGAGCAGATTTGGAGGATGTCTCGAGCGAGGCGCTCATTTTCCCCCCCAGGTGGGCCAGATTTTGAGGATGTCTCGATCGGTTTGCTTGTTTTGGTGGCCAGGCTCGTGGGCGCAGATTCTTCTCAGGATGCCACAGGAGGCTCCAACAGGCTCCAGGAGGCCCCAGGAGACCACATGAGGTCCCAGGAGGCATCAGGAGGCCACAGAAAGACTCAAGAGGCCACAGGATGTCCCAAGAGGCTCCAGGAGGCCCCAGGAAGCTCCAGAAGGCCTCAGGAAACCACAGGAGACCCCAGGAGACAACAGGAAGCGCCAGGAGGCCTCGGAAGGCAACAGGAGGCCCCGAGAGGCCCCAGGAGCAGGAGGCCTCAGAAGGCAACAGGAGTGGCTCCAATCCCATGTGTTTTACGTATGCTCCTATCGATTGGGCCTCACCTGGAGCACGATTCTTTGATGTTCTACGTATGTTTCTATAGATGGTCCTTCTCCTGTGTACACAATCCTAAATGTTTTACTCATGTTCCTATGTATTGGGCCTCTCCTGGGGCACGAGTCCTTGGTGTTTTACGCGTGTTCCTATAGATTGCCCTTCTCCTGTGGCTCTAATCCGCAATGTTTTATGTACGTCTGTTGCTATAGATTGCGCCTCCCCTGGGGCACGAAACCTTCCTAGGAGGTCCCAGGAGGTCCCAAGAGGCTCCTGGAGACCCCAGGAAGCCCCAGTAGGTTTCAGGAGGCCCCAGGAGGCCCCAGGCTCATGCACAGAGACGCGCTCGTACTACTGAGGCTCATTCACACTCCAATTCATTCGCAGTTAGATTTATGTCCAGACCGTCACAACTGAAGCCCGTTAATATTCGAAAGCTCTTGCGCCTAGACATTCACGGCGGACAGGTCCATGCGAGTAGATGCACATATGGGGAGCTCCACGCAGTGAATAATTTCTGACTATTCGTATTTGTCTTCCAAAATCCGCCTTCAAGGGAACATGCCCGACCTAACCTTTTCCCTCCTCACTGCTCCCGCCCTTGCCCCAGCTCTGCCCCTGCCAGGACGCTGGCCTCGTGGAGGCGGCGGCCGCCGTGGCCGCGGCGCAGTAGCCGTGCATCCAGCTGCGGACCACTCCCCTTCGCCAGACTCCCCCGCACCGTGACCGAAGAGGTGTGACATCGGGCGCTGCCACGAAAATCAGGAGCGGGAAAAACACACAGACACAATGAATCGCCGATTCCCCAGAAAATGTTGGAACATATGGGAAGTGGGGGGAAGACGAAAACCAAGAAAATATGGGAAGGTATGGGGAATCAATTTATTTATGTGTGTATTTATTTGTATGTGTCCCAGGGCCCCTTCAGAAAAGCTGCGCAGATGCGCCACGGCGGAGCGGGGCGCGTGGGGCCCAAGGCTTCCGCGAGGAGCCAGGCCTTGTGGGCACGGGGGTCGTTCCCTCCTCCTCCTCCTCCTCCTCCTCCTCCTCCTCCTCCTCCTCCTCCTCCTCCTCCTCCTCCGCTTGCTCCTCCTCCTCCTCCTCCTCATCCTCCTCCTCCTCCTCCTCCTCCTCCTCCTCCTCCTCCTCCTCCTCCTCTGCCCTCCTCCTCCGCCCGGTAGCGCCAGGAGCTGGGGCCCTGCTCCCGGAAGCTGGCCCTGGGTGAGGGGGCTTGATTTTTTAGGAGGAGGGGTGGCGAGGCAGGGAGGCGAGCGAGGCAAGGGGAGGGGAGACGAGAGGGAGAACGGGAGAAGGGCCTGTCGAGCGAGAGAGCCTGTCCGCTCGGGTTCCGGTGGGCTCTCGAGGCCTCAAGATGGGCCCAGGAGTGCCCCAAGAGGGCCCCAAGAGGCTGAATTTGACCCGAGAGCGCCCCAAGGGGGCCCCAGGAGGCAATGTGTCGTTCCCCTTTGCCTGCCCATCCTCCTCCTGCTCCTTGTCATCTTTCTCAACATCCTCACCCAAGCATCTCTCGTTGGCATCGGTTCTGGATGGGCTGGTGGCGAGACGCGAAGCGGCAAAACTTATGATGTTCAATGCGCGCTCCAGCGGCATAAGCGCCCGACATTGTTAGACGGCTCCCGCCCAGGTAACAAATGTCATGTTCGGGGGCGATGCCCCACGGCACACGATAAACAAACATCGAGCATTCAAGGGAGCGAGCACTCAAGGATCTGTTGACGTGTACTACCCGGGTGGTTGCGTGCAGGTACTCTCCCTTTCTATTCCAGCGTATTTCCCCTCGTCGCCAGTGTACACCAAAGTGATGAAATATCGAAGACTCCATCGCGAATACTGTGCGCGGGTAATTAAAGCAAAGGTGTCAAGACAAGGAGGGGGACGAAGAGGAGGAGGAGCAGGATGGCCTGGTGGAGGGAAGACAATGAGGAAGGGGAGTGAGGGAAGTTGATCAGCAGGAGGAAAACGAGGAGGAGGAGGACGAGGAGGGGCAGGAGGAGGAGGAGGAGGAGCAATATGGAATCATTGTAGTTTCGCGTACGTAGTTCTGGACTCGGCGCTGAAGTCATTGTTGGTCTCCCATGGTGTCCTGGAGTCAGATTCCTTCGAAGGCCTCCTGCAGCCCGATACTTTCCTAGATTGGGATCTCGTCCAGGATGTGGATCCAGGGTCAGAATTGGGTCGGGATATTTTTTCGGAGACGGAATCGGACTTGTATTGCCCAAGCGTTCTCGAATGTGGTGCTTGGCTGGAGTCGGACCTGGTTTCGGATGACGCTTAGGAGTGGGATGCCGTCTTGGGCTTAGGCACGGTCTTGGAAGTGTTGATTAAATGCCTCCGTGTTCGTGGGCTCTGGTCGGGAATTGACCCGGATGAGGATTCGGAGCGGTCTGGGCGGGAATGGTATCGGGTCGATTATTTTCCACCCGTACCAGCCAGAGAACCGTAGTTGAAGCATCGCATTGTGGCAGTAGCAGGGTTCGGTAACGGAACGCGGTTTTCTGTAACGGAGCGCGGGTTTCGGTAACAGCCCCCAGGGTTTCGGTAACACCCCCGAGGGTTTCGGTAATAGCTTCCAGCGTTTCGGCAATAAGCCACATGTTTCGGCAACAGCCCCCCAGGGGTTTGGTAACCTCACGTTTCCGCGGCCTCCTTCTCTTGCGAAATCCTGGGAGTTGTTACCGAAACCCGCTTTCCGTTACCGAACCCCGCCCTTGTTACCGAAGTTAGTTGTTTTGTTTGTCCATCTCTGCGTTGTCCTAGTATCTGATTTGTCGTCTTGTGTTTCGGTTGCTTCCTCTTTGCTGCTCCTTCTTTTTTGTTGATCCTTAGCCTTTCCTTGTCGTTTATTCTCTTCTTCTCTTGCGACGACAGAAGGGTTCGCGGCATCTTCGCGGCGAGGTCGAGAAAAGGAAGGAGGAGAACGAGAGATGAGGTTTCGCGCCGGGGGGAATTGATCGTCATAAGACGACGCGCTTCGCTGGTTTTATTCGGGGCGGCCTTTCCAGTGACGCAGAGGGCAAGGAGGGGTGCGATGATGAGGACATGGAGGGGGGAAGGACGGCGAAAGGGCTTGGGGCGCGGAAGGGCGAGTTGTATTGTCATAGGGACGTCGCCAAGGTTTGATTCAGGCGTGGCTTTTCCAGGGCAGACATTCTGACGTAGAGGGGGGGAGAGGTGCGACAACGAGGGAACGAAAGGGATGAGGATCGGGATCGGGGTGAGGGTGCGGATGAAGACGAGAGGCCAGCGGGGTTGAGGGGGAGACGACGGAGAGGAGGGGGGAGGATGGGACCAGAAAGAAGGGTTGAAAGAGGAGCAGGGGGAGGACGAAGAGGAAAGGAAGAACGAGGGAGAGCGATGAATTGTCGGCGAAGTGGGGGTAGTTTTCGATAGGACTGCGTTCTGGTTTTACTAGGGGGGCCGGCTTTTCCAGGGCGGATGCTCACGCAGAGGGGAAGGAGGGGTGCGATGACAAGGGCGTGAAGGGGTGGGCACGGGGTGATGATGCGGACGGGGGGGCTGGTTTTCATGCGGACGCCGGTCTGGTATTATCCGGTGGCAGCTTAGCTTGTCCAGAGCAGACATGCCGTCGTGCAGGGTGAGGAGAGGTGCGATGATGAGGGCGCGCACAGGATGAGGATAATGATGGGCTCAAGGATGCGGATGCAGACGAGGGGTTGGCGGGGGGCGGGATGGAGACGATTGAGAGGAGCGTAAGAAGGATGGGAGAAGAGGCCTTGAGAAAATCCCCAGGGGCCCCAAAAGTGGCCTGCAGCGAGGCCTGCTCACATCCCCCTCCCGTGTCTCTCTCCTCCCCCCCTCTCATTCGCGGGCCCAGCGCCTCCATCATCTTCAAACCCGTTCTTATCTTCATCTCCTTCATGTATGTCCTCATCATCGCGCCTCGCCTCCCCCGACGTCAGCACGTCTGCCATGGGAAGGCCGCCCTGGAACAAGACCACACCGACGCCCCTACGCAGAGCAGATTCCGTAGCGTCTTCAACCCCATCCCTATCTTGACCACGCCCGCATTACTACATCCGTCCCTTCCCCTCTGCGTCAGCACTTCCGCCTTGGAAAAGCCGCCCCAGGAATAGGCCGGAACGACGTCCTTACGAAAATGATCCTCTGTCGCAGAAGTCAGATCTCGACATCAAACAAACATTTAACGCGCCCCAGCGCGGTGCAAGCGCGATGGCAGATTAGAATTGCGGTTTAGTTTTTCAGGTGGACGGCATTTCCATTGTATATTGTTGCTTCGGCATGCAATGAGATGCAGCAGTTGGTCATGTCAATTGGGGGGTTCTACTTGGGAGGAGAAGCGCAAAATCGAGGAAGCGGGCCAGAGCCTCGCCCACCCTGCCAGTTCACAGCTTGCCAAACGAGCCTCGCCCACCCTGCCAGTTCACAGCTTGCCAAACTACACGACTGCGTACCAGTCCTGCCGTCGAGATCAAATGGAGCCGAGGAGTTCCAAGAATGTTGTGTACATCCCGTAGGAACACAAACAGGATATGCTCATATATCGCGTTGCTATCACGGGGAAGAGTGTTCATGGCAAGGAAGCGAGAGGGTGATGGCCCTATCGTTGCAGACGGTGTGGCGAAATGTCGATATTGGTTTAGGGCCCGTTACCATTCGGGCCGCAAGTTGGCATCCGTTGTGGGGGTGGTGGCCCAGAGCAAACAAGAAATACGGATGTGAAACGACAAGAATGGCGCATGCGTGTGAATGTCCGCGTTTGCAAAAGCAGGTTCCAGTGGCGCGCTTGCGCGCCGAAATGAAATACCGCCCAGAAAGCTTGGGCACACCACACCGCACTGTCCCTTTCTCGAAGAAGTATGCAGAAATGTCGTCGCCGTTGCCGTCGTCGAGGGATGCGCGTGCCCTGTGAAATCTCAAAACGCGTCCATACCCTTAGCATGGCTCGGGCCGAACTCGCGGCAGGAACCACGGTGAACACAAGGAGAGGGAAATAAGGGCACGATTTAATTAAGCATGAGATTGAAGCAATGTTTCACCAAAGCGTGAGAGCAGCAACGAATTGCAGGTACCCTTTTCCCAAGTATCGAATTACCGTAGCCGTTCTCTGAATGATCATCGTTGTTCCCCGTAATTCAGTATTTGTTTCCCGTTTTACCGTGATTGGGTCCTTGATTGTTTGTTGTTGTCAAACACATCGGTTATGAAGCACAGGTGCAAGAGTACGCTTGCAAACCAAGGCGCGGTGAACCAATGGTGAGATGACAGGCGCGCTAAGCAGCGCCAAAGGAGCAAGAGGAAGGAGTAACATGCCCGTGTATTACACGACTTGAAGGTTTTCTAGAATGGGCGTTGTTGCTTGCAGCGCCTTTCCAGCGCCTCTGCGAGGTCAGAGGAGTCGCGCAGGAAAGCTGGGCAACTTCGGTTTGCAATGCAACGTCTGAATGCCCCACTACCGGTGAAATAAAACCAAGACGGTATTTTTCCCCACTCGTGGATGCATGCCGCGCGCCATTATGTGACGGAACGGTTGGCCACGCGGTGGTACAAGCAACCGGGGAGGCGTTTGTTTCGAGCGAGTTGAACGGGACAACAGCAGGACATTCCTACTTCGGGGTTAGCGTTTAGGATAGC